CTCAAGCTATCCCCCTGGGTAGAGTGCCATGGCATCATGCTCACAGCAACCTCCAACTCCTGGGCTCAAGCGAGTCTCCTGCCTCAGCCTCCCAAGTCGCTGGGACTACAGGCGCCTGCCACGCCTGGCCATTTTTTGGTTGCAGCCATCATTGTTGTTTGGCGGGCCCGGGCTCATGTAGTTATTCTTTATAAAGATGGCAGAGATTAGTTTCTTAAAGAAAATTCAACAGAGACACCATTTTGCCATCTACAGACAACAGTCTCTAAGCACTTCTTTATCAAGTGGTTGTTTAGTGGTTTTTTGTACTTACCAATAGTTTTGGGTCTTCAGCTTAGTGCTGCAGAAGTGAGTGACCATCTCTTCTACCCAGAAAACACAAAAGCAACTCTACATCAATCAGAAGTTACAGGGAAAATAGTTGAATAGTTATTTCCAATTAAGGGAAGAATTTCTCTCCTTTCATGGGTAAAATGCATTTTTGCTTAACTCAAAGAGAGATAAAGTAATTAATATAATTTTTCGGGTTCCAAATATGGGAAATCTTAATTATAATCCTGAATTTTCACAGTTTATTGGCTAGAGATGGTGGCTCATGACTGTAATGCCAGCATTTTGGGAGGCTGAGGCAGCAGCATGATTTGAGCCCAGGAGTTCAATACCAGCCTAGACAACATAGTGAGACCCCAGCTCTATAAAAACATTTAAAAAAATTAACTAGGAGTGGTTTGGTGCGTATAGCTCAGCAGCTAGGGCGCCAGCCACATACAACGGAGATGGCGGATTCAAATCCAGCCCAAGGCCTGCCAAACAATGACAACTACAACCAAAAATAGGCAGGCCAGTTGTGGCAGACAGCTATAGTCCCAGCTACTTGGGAGGGTGAGGCAAGAGAATAGCTTAAGCCTAAGAGTTTGAGGTTGCTGTGACCTGTGACGCCATGGCCCTCTACCCAGGGCGACAGCTTCAGACTCTGTCTCAAAAAAAAAACACAAAAAACAAAAAACAAAGAGAAAAAACCAGGAGTGGTGGTGCACACCCAGCTCAAGTGCAATGATCCTCTTCTCTTTTCCCTTTTACATGATGCTGAAGCAAACCGTCTTTATAGTTAATAGAATGTCAAGATTGGAAGGGACCTTAAATGATCTAAATTTCCTACCCTACAACACTTAAGTACTTGATATGCAATACAACTACCAAGTGATTACTCAGTACATCTTTTTAAAAGCAGTATGATAAAACAAAGAAACCAACCCAAATCCTCCATTTTTTGATTGCAGAAGAGAATTCTGAGCACAGGTACCTATATATTTATACGATCAAGAATCATTACTTGCTAAACAGCACAAGAGAAATTAGAATTACCTTCTAGAATTAGGATTCATCTGTTATACTTTGCAGTGCTATAATTTCTTCTAGTCCAAGGACTTAATCTGAACATTGAATATTTGTTGAATATACAACATTTTCATTAATTAAATAATAAGCATTCAACATAACTAGAAACATCAAAAGCAAATAAACTGGAGCTTGTATTTAAAAAGGAAAATGGTAGTCTCCATTTGCAAGGAACAGAAAAGACTCAAGTGAGGGCAAAACTTTACTTCTGAAGATATACTAGAAAACTTTTAAATATAAGCTACAGTTCACCAGCTTTTAAAATTTCATGTTTATTCATATTTTTCAAAATATATGTACATAAAAAAAGGAAGATTTACAACAGGAAAGATTGCCTTACATGCAACACAAATTCCAATGAACTCATGATGGGATCACACATGATTATGATCTAATTCAAGCCAATCTTTTCTCAAGTCCATTTCTCAGCCATACTTCAGGCGACAGAAGGGATCCCAGGAAACAATGCAAGTGGAATGAAAAAGAAACATTTTTTGCCTCTGGCAGCACTCAAGGGGCCAGAAGATGTACTCCAGAAAGTTTAAGACAATTACAATGTCAAGTGCCACAGGGAAAAGAAATAACCAGAAATTGGTATTTTTCAAGTAGAAAGCTAGTACTATTTAACACAACTTCACAATACTAAAACCAATACAAATAAGAAAGGGTTAGGTAGTAGGGCTTCATTTACTTTTTTTCCTTTTTTTAGTATCTCAAAAAGGAAGCCACTTGCTTGATATCAAAAAGTGCTATGGAAAGAAAGGAGGGGAAAAAAACTCAGATGAATCTGGAATCTAGTTTATTTTAGCAAATTGCATGTTTTTCCACTTAACATTTCTACATTAGCAATGATGTAACTCTCCAACATTTTCTTATGAAAAAGGCAAACAGGAAGTGACAACTCATGCTCCAAATATTAAAAACAAACAAACAAAATTTAAACATTTCATCAAGATTTGTTTTGATTTTTGGTAACACAGGTTAAGACCAGAAATCACAGACTCAATCAATATATTCCTATACTTTCTCTTCACTCAAAAACCAAGTGGTATATAGAATTTGTGCTTGCTGTTCAGGGAATGCAATGCTCTAGGCTGGTGAAAAATACCTGGAAATTAATCTATGTGAAAGGTGGCTGAAAGGAGTCATGTGTCTTCAAAATCTAATGAAGATCATACTGTTTTGGCTTATTCCCAAAGCTGTCTCTGTGTTTATAGTTGGAGAGAAAGGGTTAGTGGAGCAGTTTTTATAAATAAGATTATTACAGCTATCACTGAAGTCTCCAGGCAAGAGGCGTCAATTCAGTCAGTGCTATCCTGCCTCCTTTTACTTCTAGCCCCTGACCAGCATCCTGTTCTTGATGCTTTCCACAAATATAAAAATCTTTGCAAAATGTTTAGATAAAACTGGAAGAAAAACATAAGTCAAAGCATAAAAACAACTGGGGTTTTGGGTAGGGAGAACAAAATACAAGTATGGATTACACACTTTAGGAAAGTCCAGGATTATTGAAGAAATTAAAATGACTGAGGGAAGGGGCAGGCACCAAGAACAGCACCTAAAACTAAGAAATGCCTAAACTGGTTTATTCATATTCCCTCCACACAATGTTCATAAGGGAGGTAAACAAAGTAATTTTAAAAGCATGAAAACTAAAACAAATGCACACTGACCTTAGAAAATAATATTTTTAATTTCATCATGATACCCTTTTTTCCTATAAAATTTACTTTTTCGCTTTGAAAGTCTTCTTCATGGTAGATTTGCCCTTGCCAGGCAATTTCACTTCCTTTCTCACACTGGCTGTAGACTTCTTTGAAGAGCCACCACCTGGTTTCTTGATGACTGAGGGTGAGGGTCTGGCTTTCTTGGCAGGAGTTTTGGCCTTAGGAGGGGCTTTCTTGGGCAGGGGCCTAGCTTTTCCCCTCTGGGCAGCTGGGATTTTAGGTGCAGGCTTGGAACCTCTCTGCTTCATAGACGCAGCCTTCCCTGGGGACTTGGCTGGGGTTTTCTTCAGTAACCTATAAGGACCAAAGAGCAAAGGCAATCATAAGATGTCACCTATGTTAAGGTCAAAAATGTGACTAGAGGCTTTACTAAAATTGTATAAATATCTGAATAAAAATTCAACCAATTTATGGAAACCTACACATTAATTCAATGGTACTTTTCCTACAGTAATATGAAATTGTTTTTCTTTGAATAACTCAATTATAAATATACACAGGATTGACCAAAGAGTAAACTATGTATTCACAGCACGTTCTACATTCTGAGCCTCTGACATTTTCAACGGAGAAGATAAATTCAAAAGTTACACAAAGAACCTGAGAAGGATCATGAATGTCAAAATACTTTCCCTCGTCAGCCCCTCCTATCAGTACCATTTTTAGCTCTAAAATATTTATTATCCTCTCCACAAGATGGGATTTTCAGACATCCACACCTTCTCTTAGGTGGTGGCTCGTCATCCTCAGAATCTTCTTCTGATGACTCATCTTCATCTTCATCCTCATCTTTAGAATCATCTGGCTCTTTCTTTGGAAACAGAACTCCTGGGCTATGGGGGAAAAAAAATTAGGTAAAAGAAGAAGTCCCATACAGGACAAGGAAAATAACGGAAACTCAGATGCTCTTCTCTGGACATTCTCAACTTCTTCCCAACCTCCACCTATAATGTCAAGTTAGACTACATATATAAGGATACAATTTAACCTATTTTGAACACACAAGTCACGACAAATCTATAAAAGTCCCAAATCATACCTCATTCCCTTTCTCTTTCACATCACCAGCCACTAGAGAGCTCAGCCATGGCTCTGTGCTACCTCATGGCTGTAGGCCTCAACTAGGCCACAAGGTGATCAAGAACATGAGCAAGCCTAGGCACAGCTAACACTGCAGGTGCCCCACCAAACACATTAAGTTTCTGTGGGACATGATATGAGAAATGAGTGGCTTTGCCCTACGTGAGCAGCATGCCATGAAGGTCCAAGGACAAATGGACTCTAAAGTCTTGTCAAGGAAAGGATGGGGGCCGGCACGGTGACCCACGCCTATAATCCTAGCACTGTGGGAGGCTGAGGTCGTTAGATAGCCTGAGCTTACAGGGTGGAGACCAGCCTAAGCAAGACTGAGACCTTGTCTCTAAAAACAGCCGGGCATTGTGGTGGGTGCCTGTAGTCCCAGCTACTCGGGAGGATGAGGCAAGAGAATCGCTTAAGCCCAAGAATTTGAGATTGCTGTATTGAGGGTGACACGGTGAGACTCTTCTATCAAAAAAAAAAAAAAAAAACAAGAAAACAAAAAAAGAAAAGGATGAGGACACACATCATCCAAGTTAGAGGAAGTGGAAGAAGCTCAGCAATGTCCTAGCCACAATGAGGAAAGCTGGAGAAGGATTGAGCAACCCCCTCCCCACACAATGAAACCTTTATAGAAGAAAAAAAAGGACCTTTAATAATTTAGTAAACAATTACTTAAACTCCTAATACATGTCTATATTAGCCAATGAGTATACAGAGAATGGACTATGCAGCAGTCATTTTTGCTCTTATAATAGTGTCAAAAGATATCAATGTTTACAGAGACCTCAAAAGACTAAATCTCTTCAAAGTTGTAGAGAAATCTGGCAAGGATCCCCTAAGTCATCTTGGCTCTAAATAGTAGAAATCCAGATTCCTTTAGTATTTTTTTTTTTTTTATGAGACAGAGTCTCACTTTGTTACCCTTGGTTGAGTGCCATGAGTCGTCTCTCACAGCAACCTCAAACTCTTAGGCTTAAGTGATTCTCTTGCCTCAGCCTCCCAAGTAGCTGGGACCACAGTCCCCTGCCACAATGCCTGGCTATTTTTTTAAGAGACAAGGTCTCCTTTTGGTTGCAGCTGGTCTCAAACTCCTGAGCTCAATCAAGCCACCCGCCTCAGCCTTTCAGAGTGCTAGGATTACAGGCATGAGCCATTGTGCCTGGCCCTTTTTTCGAGACAGTGTCTCATGTTTTTGTTCTAGGTTAGAGTGCTGTGGCCTTAGCCTAGTTGATAGCAACCTCAGAGTCCTGGGCTCAAACAACCCTCCTGTCTCAGCCTCCTGAGTAGCTGAACTACAGGCACCTGCCACAAGACTCAAGATTGGTCTCACTCTTGCCCAGGTTGGTCTCCAGCTCCTCAGCTCAAGCAATTCTCCCACTTCAGCCTCCCAGAGCTAGGATTACAGGTATGAGTCACCATGCCCAGACTTTAATATGTCTTTAAATAATGAAAAAAAAATTTAATTATTTATTTTAATGATGGAATCTTGCTATGTTGCCCAGACTGGACTTAAACTACCAGGTTCAGGTAATCCCTCCTACCTTGCCTTCTGAGTAAATAGGCCTATACCATCTTCCTGGCAAATTATTACATTTTATATGTGTAATCTTGAGAATTAAATTTAATGGCTAATGTTTGAAAAAATTCATAAAATATGCATTTAGCCAAGTAACACTTATGATTGTACACAGAAAATAACATAAAGTTAGACTGTAGTCTTACTAAATTAGGGTCGTAGCAGTACACGTCATGGTACTTCACTGGAAATTAAAATATAAGAAAATTATTTAGCATCAGTGCACAGAACAATTCCTAGCCCTAGGAGGTGTTCAATACTTTTAGTTTTTAAATAAATGTCGCTGTCCCTAAGAAGTATGAAGAAGGTAGAGAAAGGATTTGGTATTTTTTGGCGACAGAGTTGCTCTCATTCTGTTGCCCTGGGTAGAGTATCGTGGCATTGTAGTTCACAGCAACCTTAAATCTTTGGCTTCAAGCAATCCCTTGCCTCCAGAGTAAGAATTCTTGAAAACAGGTGATGTTCTCCCTATTTGATATTGGAGAATTAAAACATATATAATCCTCCAATAACCTTTTTACTTGATAAAGAAGGAATGAAGATCAAGTTGAACATTCACGATCTCAAAGAATTTGATGCTTATTTCAAAAACAGCTGGCTAACTATGCTCTAGCAAGATAGCCAAAACTCCCGTTCTTATTTAAACTGCAGTCCATTTATATGCAGAATTTTTTCAACCAAACACAGATCAGAAATAATAGTGTTCTCAAGTGGTAAACGTATATGTATGGAAAGCTAACTTTGTAGATATGCAGGTTCCACAAGGCCGACTGTGGACTTGAGTATGCATGGGGCTTCAATCCCCCTCATATACCAGGGATAACTGTATTTCCAGTTCAGTGTAACAGTAACAAGGGTAAAAGTAAGTTAAACTAAGCCTACAGCACTGAATGAGATTTTAAATTTACAATGACCTACTTATTACAGGGTAAGTGCTTACCTGGGGTAATAGGGAAAACAGAGCTGGAAGGTGCCACTGAACCCTTTCCCAGAGATCTGTTCCATCCACCCGTTCTTTTCACACTTCTGCAGGGTTTTCTTCAGCAAATGCACTGAACAAAAAATTCAAAAATCAAGAAAGTTACCCCCAATTATTCAGATTTGCTAAGTCTCTCAACCACAATTAGATGCCAACAAATTCAATGTCCTGTCACATAAGGTGAATCCTCTTTGGTCAAAAGGTATTTATTCGTTAAAATATTTATTTAGAGCTTGAGAGCCACAGCATAGTAGCTACCGCACCAGCCACAGACACTGAGGATGGCTGGTTCAAACCCAGCCCAGGACTGCTAAACAACAATAAATACAACAACAACAAAAAAGGCAGGCATTGTGGCGGGTGCCTGTAGTCCCAACTACTTGGGAGGCTGAGGCAAGAGAATCGCTTAAGCCCAAGAGTTTGGGGTTGCTGGGAGCTATTATATGACAGGACTCTACCAAGGATGACATAGTGAGACTCTGTCTCAAAAAAAAAAAAAAAAAAAAAATTTTAGAGCCAATAAATTTGACAAGAGTTAAATTAAAAAATTAAGTCAAATTCCTCATTTCACAGTTTTAGCTCAGAATGGTCAAGCAACCTGAACCCAGAACAGTTAAGTGACTTGCCCTAAGGTAGCACATAAATGGTCAACAGCAGGGCTAAAACTAAATATTTCATTGTTTTAAACATTTATTGATACATAGGTATTGATAATCATCTAGGAAAATTATTTTACAAAGATGAACAAAACCAATTCCTCGCAAAAGAGCAAACAGTAACGAAACAATATTGTGTTTCCTCGTGCCTCAATCTCTTAGAGACATATTAAAAAATGTATTTTATAGTGACTGAGCATCTAAAAAAAGATGCACAATCATGAAACTCAAAAAGTTGAGTTGTTGAACTCAAATTCATCTTCTGTTAAAATATTTGGCTAAGAATAAAAAATCATGAAATAGCCTCTAAGGGTTAACATACACAATTAAACACAATATATGAAGTACATGAGCCAGGCACAATGGCTAGAATCCTAGAACCTTGGGATGCCACGGGAGGAGCACTTGAGGCCAGGAATTTGAGACCATCTGAACAAAATAGCAAGACTTCATTTCTATAAAAATACAAAAATTAGCCAGATGTGGCAGTATGCTCTTGTTGGCCCAGCTACTTGGAAGGCTGAGGCCAGAGGAACACTGGAGCCTAAGAGTTTGAGGTTGTAGTTAGCTATAATAAAGCCGCTGCACTCAAGCTTGGGCAACAAAGCAAAGTCCCCCACCTCAAAAAAAAAAAAAAAGGCAAAAATAGGTGTTTTAAACCTAGAGATTTATCTAAATTAGAATAAAAATATGTGGCTCAGTGCCCATAGCTCAGTGGTTAGGGTGTTGGTCACATGCATTGGAGCTGGTGGGTTTGAACCCAGCCAGGGCCTGCTAAAAAAACAGTAACAGTTAACAACAAAAAATAGCCAGGCATTGTGGCAGGTGCCTGTAATCTCAGTTACTCAGTAGGCTGAGGCAAGAGAACCACAGCAACTCTACCAAGGGTGACATAGTGAGACTCTATCTCAGACCAAAAAAAAAAGAATAAAAATATGTTATCAGAAAAATTTCATAGAAAATCAACTTCTGATCAATAGACACTTACATTAAGGATAAGTTGCATTTGTTTTGTTTTTTGAGACAAGAGTCTTATTATGTCACCCTCGGTAGAGTGCTGTAGCATCATAGCTCACAGCAACCTCAAACTCTTGGGCTTAAGCAATTCTCTTGCCTCAGCCTCCCAAGTAGCTGGGACTAGAGGTGCCTGCCACAACGCCCAGCTATTTTTGTTATAGTTGTCATTGTTGTTTAGCTGGCCCGGACCTGGTTCAAACACACCAGCCTCAGTGCATGTGACCAGAGCCATAACCACTGTGCTACAGGAACTGAGACTTGTTTTTCTTTTTTAATAATAATATATTTGCAGCCAGCAATGGTGGCTTATGCCTGTAATCCCAGCACTTTGGGAATACAAAGCAGGAGGATCAGACGGGCGTGGTGGGTCACCTGTGCTCAGAGGTTCAAGACCAGCTGAAGATCCGCCTGAGGCAGAGTGAGCCAGAGTGAGACCCCGTCTCTGCAACAACAAGACAGCCGGACCTTGTGATCCCAGTTACATGGGGGGGCAAGAAAACACTACAGGAGGAAGAAGTAATTAAAAAAAAAAACCAAAAAAACAAAAAACAAAAACAAAGCAGGAGGATCGCTTGAGGCCAGAATTCAAGACCAGCCATGGCAATGAGAGATCCCATCTCTACAAAAAAAATACAAAAATTAGCCAGTTGTGGTGGTCCATCCTGGTAGTCTGAGATACTCAGGAAGAAGAGAGGAGGATCACCTAAGTCTAGGAGTCTGAAGTTGCAGTGAATTGTGACTGTGCCACTATACTGCAGCCTAGGCAGCAGCAGAAGACCCTGTGTCTTTAAAACAAAACAAAAAAATTGTGAAGCTATTCTCTGCTGGTTTTGGGAGTCAGCAATAAGTACTCTTATGTTAGTAGTATGATCACTAAAGTTATCTCAAAAGAAAAATTCCCTAATCCCAGTTAAATGCATGCGATTCTGAGTCTTACTTTGATAGTTGGAATTGGTCCCTGGGTGGTTCTCCAGGACATATTTCTTCAGAGCAGTGGTAGAGCAGGTCTTCGGCTCATTCATGGCAGCAATGGCAGACAAGATTGCATATTCCATCAGGCTTCCACCAAGCAGGGGTTTCTCCCCTGATTTCTTCAGCTGTTTTCCAAGGAGGAAGAGAAAAGCATCAAGACAACACTCTCCCAAAGCAGGTCAAGACAAGACTCCTCTGCACCAGGTGGGTCGGAGTTCCTGCATTAGCACAGATATGTTTTACAATAAATTTTCAGGTTAGGGACTTTCTCTTTCATTCACCAGGTATTCAACCTAACTGAGGACTCCTAAACCTCACAGATAATTTCTCCTTCCATCTACCCTACAACTGCAATAGTCAACCTAACCCAAAGATACCTGTTATAGCCTCAATAAATCAAGACTCTTTTGAGAATACTTCCTTTTTCTGAATCTACAGAATGAAGTACAGCTTACTGTTGAACAACATGGGTTTGTATACATGGATTTTCTTTTGTTTCTGCCACCCCTGAGATAAGACCAATTCACCTCAACCTACTCAATATGAAGACAAAAAGGATGAAGATCTTAAAGATGATCCTCTTTCATTTAATAATAAATATTTTCTCTTCCTTATGATTTTCTTAACATTTTCTTTTCTGTAGGTTACTTTATTATTGTAATACAGTATATAATACATACAACATAGAAAATACGTTTGTTAACCAATGTTTATATTGTCAATAAGGCTTCCGCTCAACAGTTTGCAATTAGTAGGTAAATTTCTAGGGAGTCAAAAGTTATATGCAGATCTTTGACTGCAGGGAGATGAAAAGGGAGCATCAGTGCCCCAAGCCCTGTGGTTGTTCAAGGTCAGTTGTAGGTACAAAAGTAGTAAGTAGCCTCATTAATAATCCCATAAGGAAAACTGTAAAGGAAAATTTTGATAAGTATGTCATATAAGATTATATAGCATATTTCAAGATGATAGGCAAGGCTGAGAACAAAGAGTATTATTCATAAGCAAAAAGAAAAAGGAGAAAATTAGGAGTCCTCTACAATAGTGGTTAGTGGTTCTCAAAGACTGGTCCACAACTTTCTGGGGGGGTGGGGGGGGGTGGGTCCTGAAATTCTTTCAGAGGATTTACACGGTCAAAACGATTTTTATAATAAAACTAAAATGTGATTTGCCTTTTCCACAGCACTGATGATGCAGAACCAATGGTGGATAAAACTGCTGCCACCTTAACACAAATCAAGGCATAGGCACAAAAATATGGTTATTATCTTCCTTAACTGCTATGTACTATGGTTTAAAAGAAGAATAGCACCAATTCACTTACAAATGCTCTTGATAAAGTAGTATAAGTATTTTATTACATTTCAATCCTTGAGTGTGTCTTTTTAGTATTTTATGGGTTGAAACAATGAGAATACATAAAGCATCATGGCTACACATGGAGGGATGATATTCTTCAGGAAAAGCACATCTGTGATTATATGAGTTAGGAGTTGAAGTAGTTATACTTTTCTTGGAATACCTTTTTTACTTGAAAAAATAACTGATAAACTAGGGTAATTTAGACATGGGCATAGGGTAGACAGCATCTTGTCTTGATTCATCTTGAGAATGAATTAAATGACCCTGTCACTTCAAGTCAAACAATGTTATAAAAATCTAACTTTTTGAAAGAAAACTTAATTGTGGGAAATTTGTATCTATCATTGTGAGCTTGTTATTATCTTCCCAATTATTTAAATACTGTTTTTACGAGATCGATAGCTGATACCAATGATTGCAATTTTTGTCATGGTATGATGAAATACCAACATTTGGAAAATCTGCCACTGATTTCCCAATGACGAACTCACCTCATGTTACAAAAATATGCATGGTAAAAAGATCTACTCAAAGTTCAAAAGGGATCAATGGATTTTAAGGTAACAGTATAAGAAGTTCACTGGGGCTTGGCGCCTGTGGCTCAATCGGCTCAGGTGCCAGTCACATACACCTAAGGTCGCGGGTTCGAATCTCCAGCCCAGGACCACCAAACAACAATGATGGCTGCAACCAAAAAAAAAAAATGGCCAGCACTGTGGCTGGCGCCTGTAGTTCCAGCTACTTGGGAGGCTGAGGCAGGAGACTCGCTTAAGCCCAGGAGTTGGAGGTTGCTGTGAGCTGTGATGCCACTGCACTCTACCCAGGGAGATAGCTTGAGTCTCTGTCTCAAAAAAAAAAAAGAAGTTCACTGGTATGGTTTCAAGTGCCACATGGCAACCTTTTATTTTTATTTATTTTAACTTTAAATTTTTATTACACAAAGGTTGCCACATAATTGGATATTTCTCAACTTTGTATACAATTATTCTTACTCTCCACAGAAAGGCTGCTTCTTAACTTTTTATCTGGTGATGGCAAGCACTAAAATTCTGATTTTAACAGAATAGTAGTAAAAATGCCTCAGTGATTTAAGTTGAAAGCAGTATACTGGTACATGGCTCTTGCACCTAGTATCAGGAATGTACAAATGTCTTTTTATTCAAAAATACAAAATAAATTATCTCTAGGCATGGACAATGGATGACAGCAGTAAACAATCATATTTGTCAACTGAAACCAGTAACTGGTGGCAATAGTGATTTTCTTAAACATTAGTCAGTCTTTTCTTCACGTTCTTCAACTGACTTCTCTGAAGTTGAGGAACACCGCCTTGAGCTTCCTGTCACAGTTCATTAATGGTAAAGCACTATTCAAGGAATTAGAACATGCCACCTCCTATGCCACCCATTGCACCCACTCCAGGGTCCTTCTCTTCTTTAGGAAGTTCTGTGACTACAACTTCTGCTGTAGTTAACAGAGAAGCCACCCCAGCAGCATCCAGTAAAGCAGTTCTTACCACCTTTGTTGGATCAGTGATTCCTTTTTCCACTATATTCACAAAATCTCCAATCATAGCATCATAACCAACTTCTGTGGAACTTCGCATTATTTTCTCCACTGTCAAAGATCCTTCAACACCTGGATTCTTAGCGATGGTCACTACAGGAATTTTGAGTGTTCTTTTAATAATTTCTATACCAATTTTTTGATCTTCATTAGCTGGAGTTAGTGAGTCCAAGGCTGGGATGCACCGAAGCAGAGCACAGCCCCCTCTGAGAACAATGCCTTCTTCAATAGCAGCTCTTATGGCATTAAGGACGTCTGTAACTCTTTTTCTTTTCATTTACTTCAACATCACTTGTTCCACAAACCTTCAGCACAGCTACTCCATCTGAAAGTTTTGCCAGACGTTCTTTTAGTTTTTCCTTTTCATATTCACTTGTAATCTCTAACTGCTCAACAATTTCTTGAATACGTTTTTCAGTTTGAGCCTTGTCACCTTTTCCTTTCAAGAGCACAGTATCATCTTTGGTTACAATGACCTCTCCAATTTTTCTTAAGTCATGAAGCTGAACATCTTCAATATTTAGGGTCAACTCTTCTCCGAACACTGCACCACCAGAAGCAATAGCTATGTCTTTAAGCTGGTTCTTCCTTTTATCACCAAAACCTGGAGCTTTGACTGCTACAACTTGAAGACAAACTTTTAGCCTATTCAAAATGAGTGTGCTTAGAGCTGCTCTATCAACATCTTCAGCAATTATGACCAAAGGCTTACGGTGAGCACTGGCAATTTCAAGAGCAGGTATGATTGACGGGACACTAGAAATTTTCTTTTCACTTAATAGAACATAGGCATCCTGGAATTCACATTTCTGACCTTTTGATGTGTTAATAAAATATGGAGAAATATAACCTTGATCAAACTTCATGCCTTCAATAATTTCTAAATCATTCAGTGTTTTCCCATCCTTCATTGTTATGACACCTTTTCTTCCAACCTTTTTCATTGCATCAGAAATGCTGCCGCCAATTTCTTTGTCTCCATTTGCAGAAATCGTAGCAACCTGAACAATAAAATCTGCAGGGGTTATCACAGGTTTAGACTGCTTCTTCAGTTCAGCAATGACAGCATTAATAGCTAACATCACACCTCTCCTGATTTCCACTGGATTAGCACCTTTGCTAATCTTTTTGAAGTCTTCCTTGGCAATAGACCGTGGCAACACAGTGGCAGTGGTGGTACCCTCCCCAGCCTCTTCGTTTGTGTTACTGGCAACATTCTGAATAAGCTTAGCTCCAATATTTTTATATTTATCCTTTAAGTCAATTGACTTTGCAGTCACACCATCTGTTGTTACTTTGGGACTTCCCCAACTCTGTTCAACAATCACTGTTCTTCCCATTGGCCCCATTGTAACAGCTACAGCATCGGCTAAAAGGTCTATACCTTGAGGCACTAAGGCTCAGGCATCTGCGCCAAATTTTCTATCTCTGGCATAAGCCTGAGTGAGATGGGGAGCCAGTGCCCTGGACACTGGTCTTATCTGGTGAAGAACTGTGGGTAATCAAAGCATTTCTGTGGGGCGGCGGCAGGGCGTGCATGCAGTGTGGCAGGTTGTCAGCAGCAAGTGAGGGTGGCAACTAACGTTTTAGGAATCACATAAATCAATCAGCATAACTGATCACATTAACAGAATAAAGGACACAAACCACACAATCATCTCATTAGACACAGAAAAAGCATTTGACAAATCCAACAGTCTTTCATGATGAAAATTCTCAACAAACTAGGAATATAGAACTTTTTCAAGCTGACAATAGGCATCCATGAAAAATCTACCAGCTGGTGCAAAGACTGAATGCTTTCTAAAATAAAAAACAAGGAAAGAATGTCTGCTCTTATCACTTCTATTCAATACTGTTTTGAAGGTTCTATCTAGAATAATCAGGCCAGAAAAAGAAGTAAAAGATATCCTGATTGAAAAGGAAGAAGTAAAATCATTTTTATTTACAGATAACATGAGCCTGTACATAGAAAAGTCCAAGGAATCTACAAAAGTACCACTAGAACTAGTAAATAAGTTCAGCAAGGCTGCAGTATACAAGACCAATAGACAATTGCTTCTTGGCCTTTTGTCTAGGATCAAGTGAAGATCAGTAGACAAATCAGTTATACCTCTTTAAGCTAGCATGAATAATCTGAAAATGAAAGAAAACACTTCCATTCACTATAGCATGGAGAAAGAATAAAACACTTGGGAATAAATTTAACAGAAGAAATTCAAGACTTTTACACACAACACTGCTGAAAGAAATCACATAAAAAGATAGTCAATGTTCATGGATTGAAAAACCCAACACTGTAAAGAGAGTGATTCATTCCAAATTGATCTACAGGTTCAACACAATTCCTACCAAAATCCCAGCTGTTTTTGTTTTTTCTTCTTGTGGAAATTAACAAGTGGATCCTAAGATTTGAATGGCATTGCAAGGGACCTAGAATAAACAAAATATTCTTGCAAAAGAGGACTTTACAAGTCAACATTTCAAAACTCATTATTTTAAAGCCCACAGTCATCAAGACAGTATAGTACTGGCATTAAGGATGCACATATAGAGCCAATGAAACAGAATTCAGAGTCAAGAAATAAACTCTAATATTTGTGGTCAACTGATTTTTTTTTTTTTTTTGACAGAGTTTCACTTTGTCACCCTCAGTAGAGTGCCATGACATCTTAGCTCACAGTAACCTCAAACTCTTGGGTTCAAGTGATTTTCTTGCCTCAGCCTCCCAAGTAGCTAGGACTACAGGTGCTCGCCACAACACGTATTTTTTTTTTTTAAAGAGATGGGGTCTTGCTCTTGCTTAGGCTGGTCTCAAACCCATGAACTCAGGCAATCCACCAGCCTTGGCCTCCCAGAGTGCTAGGATTAGAGGTGTGAGCCACCATGCTCCCCCACCTTTTGAGAATCTTGCTCTGTTGCCCCAGGTTTGAGTGCCATGGCAATAGCCTAGCTCAAAGCAACCTCAAACTCCCCGGCTCAAGTGATCTTCCTGTCTCACCTTCCCAGTGGCTGGAATTACATTTACCCACCTCAATGCCCAGCTAATTTTTTCTACTTATGAGACATGGTCTCAGTCTTTGCTCAGGCTGATCTCAAACTTCTGAGCTCAAGTGATCCTCTAGCCTCACTCCCCCCTCTCCCCCAGAGTGATAGGATTACAGGCTTGAGCTACCTTGCCTAGTTCAGTCAACTGACTTTTGATAAGGTGCCAAGGCAATTTAATGAGGAAAGGACAGTATTTTCAATATATGGTTCTAGACAGTTGGATATCCATATGCAAAATGATAAATTATAAACCTGACCTCATGCTATAAACAAAATTTAATATGGATTATAGACCTTATAGACATAAGTGCCCAAATTAAAATACTCAGAAAGAAATTTTAAAACATCTCTTAAAAACCTTGTAGGAGCAAATTTTCATTTATTTAAGTTAGGCAGTGATTCCTTAGATACAGTAGTTATATGAGCAATTTTAAAAATGATAAATGGAATTTTAGTAAAATCAAATACTTTGTGCTTCAAAAAATACTGACAGCCAGGCACGGTGGCTCACACCTTTAATCTTTAGCAGTTTGGGAGATAAGGGGGATAGACTGCTTGAGCTTAGGAGCTGAAGACCAACTTGAACAAGAGCAAGAATAAGAGCCAAAGCAAGATCCTGTCTCTACTAAAAATAAGAAGACTAGCTGGGCATTTTGGCAGGTGCCTATAGTCCCAGCTACTTGGGAGGCTGAGGCAAGAGGATAATTTCAGCCCACGAGTTTGGAAGTCGCTGTGAGCTATGATGTCACAGCACTCTACCTAGGGCACACAGAGTTTAGACTCTGTCTCCTAAACAAAAAAAAAAAAAAAAAAAAAAAAAGAGAGAGAAAGGCTTGACACTTGTTGCTCAGTGGTTAGGGTGCAGGCCACATACACTGGGGTTGGCGGGTTAGAACCTGGTCCAGGCCTGCTAAAACAACAAAAAAATAGCCAGCATTGTGGTGGGCGCCTGTAATCCTAGCTACTTGGGAGGCTGAGGCAAGAGAATGGCTTAAGCCCAAGAGTTTGAGATTGCTATGAGCTGTGACACCACAGCACTCTATCAAGGGGTGACTTAGTGAGATTCTGTCTCCAAAAAAATAAAAAATAAAAAGATACTAAGGGAAAGCCACAGAATAGAAGAAAGCATTTACAAGTCAAATATCTGATGAGGGACATTTCTTTATATTAAAGAACCTCTTATAACAAATAACCCAATATTTTCTTTCTTTTTTTTTTGGAGATAGAATCTCACTATGCCAGCTTTTTTTTTTTTTTTTTTTTTTTGCAGTTTTTGGCCAGGACTGGGTTTGAACCTGCCACTTCCAGTATATGGGGCCGGCGCCCTATCCCTTTGAGGGGATACACAAAAGCCGTTTTTCTTTCTTTTTTTGGCCAGGGCTACGTTTGAAGCCACTACCTCTGGCATATAGGGTCAGCGCCCTACTCCTTGAGCCACAGGCGCCACCCTGTCAGCTATTTTTTTTTTAGAGATGGGGTCTTGCACTGGGCTCAGGATGGTCTCGAACCTCTGAGTTCAGGCAATCCACCTGCCTCAGCCTTCCAAGTGGTGGGATTACAGGTGTGAGCCACCACTCCCAGCAATAAATAACCCAATTTTTAAAATGAGTAAAGTACTTGAATAGACAATTCAAAGGAAATAAAACAAACAGCTATTAAGTGTCTGAAAAGATACTCAAAAATCAGCAGTCATTAGGGAAATGCCAATCAAAACCACATATTCAGGTTTGGCGCTCGTAGCACAGTAGTTACAGCACCAGCCACATGCACCGAGGCTAGTGGGCTTGAGCCCAGCCTAGGCCAGTTATAAAACAATGACAACTGCAACAAGAAGATAGCTGGGCGTTGTGGCAGGTACCTGGAGTCCCAGCTACTTGGGAGGCTGAAGCAAGAGAATCACTTAAGCCCAAGAGTTTGAGGTTACTGTGAGCTGTGATGCCACAGTACTCTATTGAGGGCAACATATTGAGACTCTGTCTCAAAACAAAACAAACACGCACATGTTCACTAGAATGAGTATAATAAAAGAATAACAAATGTAGGTGGGAATATGGAGAATCCCGAACCCTTATAAATTGCTGGAGGGAATATAAAATGGTGCAGGCACACTGCTAGTTTCTAAAAACACGAATTTACCATATGACCCAGCAAGTCCTAAAAACATACATCTGTACAAAGACATAAATATAAATGTTCAGACAGTAATAATAAACTAAAAAGTGGAAATAACCCAAATGTCCATCAACTCATGAATAGATTAAATGAGTGCGATCCACACAATGAAATATTATTTGGGAGGAAAAATCAAAGCACGACTATATGCTACAACATGAATAAAACTCAAAAACATTATGCTAAATAAAAGAAGCCAGTCACAAAATACCACAGTGTATGAAACATGCAAAAAAGGCCTATCTCTATATAAAGTAGATTAGTAGGTTGCCTGAGACTGAGTTATTGGAAATGAACACAAGGGCTCTTTAGGGAAATGTCCTAAAATTGGATTTTGATAGTTGTACAACTCTGTAGATTTACTAAAAATCACTGAATTATAAAGTATAACTTAAAATGAATATACCTTAAACAAACTATATTTCAATCAAGTTGTTAAAACAAACCACCAGGCTGGGCACCCACAGTTCAGTGATTAGGGCGTTGGCCACATGCTCTGGGGCTGGTGGGTTTGAACCTGGCCAGAGCCTGCTAAACAAAACAAAACAAAACAAGCCAGGTAGTGAGATGGGTGCCTGCAGTCACAGCTACTTGGGAGGCTGAGGTAAGAAAATCACTTAAGCCCAAGAGTTTGAGGTTGCTGTGAACTGTGACACCACAGCATTCTACCAAGGGTCACATAGTGAAACTCTGTTTCAAACAAACACCACCAAAAACTCCCCAAAGCTCTTTGGATTCCTCAATCAATTCTTACAGGTTCTGAAACCAAAAACTTTTGAGGACTACTTCTCTACAATCAAGACTTTGGCACCTGGAATGTCCCCGAAGCACCTTTGCCAGTTATCTGTTCTAACTGGCCTCTCTCTACTGCTCTCTGCAGAGCGTTCTTCAACAGCTGAGGCCTGCAGAGAAAAACAAAAAATAATGATAAATATATCAATGAAAGAAAAATTTAAAGAAATACATCCAGGGTTATTTGTAGACCTAAAGCTCTGATTCCTATTATATTGTAGTACTTTGTTAAAATGGGAGAAAAGGTAATAATAAAGTGCTGGCAAACTTAACACTCTTACACACAGAAACATGTACCATACAGAACCGATTTTGAAATTGCCAGGGCACTCTAAAAACCCACCATTTAGTACCACTAGACCACAGAGTGGCCAAACCGCATAATCAAAAAAAAGAAAGATACCTTTAAAGTATCATCCAACTCTGGAATTCTCTTGATACAAAATATTAAGCCAGTCTATTAGAAATTCATAGATGTGGCTCGGCGCC